AACAAAAATTTACGTTTTTGTATTACATATTCGAATTTCACAGAAAAACAAAGATATTTTTATTTGGAAGAATATTTTATTTGAATGACGCACCTAGTTACCAGTGTTGGTATTTTTTAGTTTAAGTTATGCGCTTCACCAATGTAAATGTCTACTACTTCATTCGGCGTATAATTAATTAGACATGATTAATATTAATACATTTTAATTACTCAATTCAACGAGGCAAGAAGAATATAGTGATAGTTCTTGAAATGCAAAGTGACAAGAAATATTTCATGCATAGTTTTATTTTACAATGCAAATAACGCAAAATTGGAATTTATTTACATTCTGCTGAAAACAGTACAGAATTTTTTTATAAAGTGAAACGCTATGAAGAAATTAAATAAAATTAAATTAAAATTCAAGATTACCAATATTCATAATTTGTGACCTCTAGTGGAAGGGGATAAAATCAATGAACACTGGTTGTGGGTTTACGTGGTGTTTTCCGGGTTTTATTTACGTTCATTCACGCGATGACTAAATAGGAACCAGTTTCACATAGAAAGTTGTCCCAATGGATCTTTCTCGGCAGATCAGTAACGCGTTGCCTTATACAAACAAACATAACTTCTGCTAGGTACTGTACGGTACAGATATGATCCAAATGATTTGTATTACTTTTCGAATTTTTCATCTTAATGCTTGCATTCACTTTCTGTTGTAAATAAAATTCAAACAAACTTTTGTATTTATTTGTTGTTTTTGTACATACCAAATTTCATTTCTTAAACTTTACCCATTTTCAGATATTGTTTAATATCTCAGAACAGAGAATAAAGAAATTAAACAAATTAGACGCCAACACACACGGGCGCGAATTGATTCCCTTTTATTGACATTTTTGGGAGTTTGAGGGTCTTGAAATGGGTAGATTTGCAAAAAAGTTGGGCCTACTAAAATGACCTGCAAAGAAGCGAATTTGAAAAAAAAGAAAAAAATATATACAAATATATAACTAACCAAAAATTAATTACTTCATACAAAATTTATTATTTTTAAAAATTAATTAAACAGTTTCTTCAATCTTCCGCTAGAGGATGGCCATTCCTGTTTTGATAATTGTAGATTTCACTTCCTGTCAATCGCAGAATGGGCATGTCGCATGGTGGAAGTGGTCGCATGGTAGCTTACAGCATGTAATGTGAAATATCATGCGATAGATCTTAAACGGCAAAAAAAAATTCGTGAACACATATGCATGCATGTCTGTGTGTTGGCGTCTATTTCGCTTAATATCTCAAGACGGGGTAAAGATAAAGGGACGGAATATGGCACAATAGCTTGTATATAAGGGGTATTGGTGCTATTAAATTTTGGTTGTGAAAGATCAAAAAGATGGAGAGATATATGGTGATGACGTGATATATTTCGATAGGGGTCGGACTTAATGAAGATATTCATTATTAGTATTTACAATATTCTATAAAACTCGTCCCTACCCCGAGAATTAAGTTTTTTGTCATTCGATAGTAATTAAAAATGTTTAAAGTTTTTATAACAAAATCTCAAAACAGATGATTATTAATTATATTAATAATATAAAAGTTATTTTTAAATAGAATTTTGTGAGAACTCGGACTAAATAACAAAATGATACTTCTTACACGGGAAACAACGCCATGGTGTACCTAATGTATGACCCGAGAGAGTTTCAATAGTATAACTACCATGAAAAAATAAACGGGTAATTGTTTGTTTAACTTGTATCTGAGTGTTTTTCTTCCGCCACGCTGTCTGTTAGAATTCCTCCATCCCGAATTCGACCGCTTGCCTGAACGATAACCTAAATAAATAGCCATCGCGAATGGCACCACTGTGTCAACCGGAAAAGATACAGTGGTGTCAACTGACGCGGTATCAACGACGTGTTGCCGACCCTGAGGTCACAATTTTATAAAAGCCGGAAAAGTTACACAACTCGTTGCCAGATTTATAAATAAATAATTTGATGTCAAATCAAACAAAAAACTTTATTAAAGATCAAAATTTGTTTACAGAGAAAGAATCTAATTACATTTATGATATATTTAAAACTGTGTTCACACGAAGACGATAAATTTAGATATTTCAGGTTTCAAATTTATTGAAGATTGAGGCTGTCCAGCAGGGCTGTGGAGTCTCGTAAAAATCTACCAACTCCGACTCCGACTCCGGCTAAAACACCAAAACTCCACGACTCCGACTCCACAGCCCTGCTGTCCTGGGAATATCTTCTTGTAGGATTCAAATTGATTCTCTTAAATCTCCTTTTCTTCTTGCATTGCATTATGTCCGATTTGTAAGGAATAGACACAATTAAGGAGAGTGGAAATTCATGGAGTCAATCAATCAGGAAAAAGTCAAAATTGAGTCACAATCGGTTTAAAAAGTTGAAGTTCGTGGAATCACAATCGGAAAGAATTTAAAATTTGAGTCACAATTGTGAAAATGTCAAATTCGAGTTATCACAATTAGGAAAAACGTCAAAATATGAAAGTCACAATAGAAGTCGGAGATTTAAAAATATTTAAATTTTCAAAATTCTTATTGGGTTTTTAAAATATTAAAGTTTATTTTTTACTTTTGAGTTTTAAAGTGTTTTTTGTTTAATTTTAAATTTAAAGATTTAANTTTCGTAGTTAAAGGTTAAAGGGGAGATAAAAGGGTGTCATGAGTGGTATCTCCAAGAGATAGGGTTTAATGATGATGTTCGTTATTAATTAACATTTACAATTCTTTTTTAGAAAGCTCATCATCTAAATACCTTTCAAAGTTAAACTATTTGCCATTCGATAATAATTAAAAATATAAAAAGTGAGATTTCTTCCAATAGTGAGATTAGTGGGATTTATCACGTCTTTCTTAATTATGCGCAATTAACAAAGATCAAGATTAAAACAGTTCGCTTTATTTTGCCTATGTAACAATGCATTCGGATTTGTACAGTAGAGCATCAATTGTCCGAACACCGATAACCGAAACATAGGTTAACCGAAAGCAAGCCAGTCGGCAAATTCAAATTTCCTCTAGTGCCGTGGCGCTGCAATATTTGGCTATGTCTTGGACAACTCCAATATTATTTTTGTTGGTGTGTGTTTTAGCTGGCAGCACTGGCGCTACCATATTGTATCGTTAAAAGTTATTTTTTTTTTCACAAACAAAATAAATATATTGAAAAATATAAAAACAAAAAAAAAATTATATTTCGGAAGTTAATCTAGTATCAAAAACGTTATATATTTAATATAACGTTATATATTAAACGTTAAATAAATTAAACATGTTTATATATTAAAAAATATATTTTTGCTCTAAGTATAGTTGAAAAACACAGTGAACTGCGGAGACTCTCAGTTTTGCGTTCATGATTAACGACATAAATATGTGCTTTATTTATTTATTTATTTAGTTTTGGTCTCAGTTTAAGTGTTGGGCAGCTTTTAATCGTGTGTGGTTGCAGCCGTTTGAATATACTTTTGTTATCCATAATGATGGATATAGTTTACAATTTGTACACATCTTAATGGTGCAGTTTCTAGATGTCACTCTCTTTCACCTATTCTCATGTTTTTTTTTTTTCTTTTTAAACTTCGATGGGAAAAATGAAAGAAGTCTTTTTCCATTTTATCTTCGAAGAAAAGCTAATAATTGTGAGAAATGGAAGTGCACTTCTATTTTTCACATTCCATTCTTTTATTCAAAATTATTAACTACTTATTACCTCTTAGAAGGATTTTAACTTCAACAATGTGCTTCATAACATGACAAAGGTCAAAATATAGTTTTTTTATTATAAATATTTTCACAAGTTAATTAAAACCAAGATTTCCACAAACAAACTATAACTACAATAAAAACACAAGAACACTACTTATATTCTGCAAAAGAAAAAGCACTGTCCGAAAAAAATTAACAACGTACTGAGTATGATACGGATCAGACCGATCTGAATACATCATCATCATCATTATTTATTAACATGTTTAGTACACATGACCTGGTTCCGCTGCAGCACTACCAGATGTAAGTAACAAAATCAATATAAACAACAATATTACATCACATTTAACTTATGACATTAATTCTGGGTTATTATAATTTGTATTATTAACAATTATAAATTATTATTCAGTAGTTAAGTATTAATTATTATCTAGTAATTATTAAAATTAATTTGGAAGTACAGAAGTTCACAATGTTACATATTACATAAATTAATAATGCTACAATACAATTTATATTACCAACAAGTATCAACAAATATATGCTTTCATCAAATATATTGTCAATTATGCGCGTAACAACATATATCAGGTCTATAGTTTATGGACTTAAAGAAAAACATCAACAATTTATTCATTAATTATTTCCAGTACATACAACTATATTCAACACATATTTTAAGTTGACGCCTTATACTGATAAGATGACGCCTACCAAGTATTAAACATATTTATCCGTTACCGATCTGAATACAGTAGACCCCCCTTTAACACCGTTGATAATTCCGTTTTATATGAATTCCATGTTGTACGAGTCACTTAGATTTTACAAATACGTGAGCCGTTTACACACACGTATTTGTAAAATCTAAGTGACTCGTACAACATGGAATTCATATAAAACGGAATTATCAACGGTGTTATAGGGGTCTACTGTACACTATAAATAACAAGTCATTTGGCTGAGAGGAATAAAATTGCATTTAATTTTTATTCCGAGCCCGGCCTACATTTTTTAATATCAATCGTGTTGGCTTCTGTACGATTACTTTTATGACGTAATCGTACAAGCATAATAAAGCAAAAACGCTAATATTTTGCAACACTAATAAACAATAAATTTAATATTTATAATCACTGGGAGAAATTTTAGGGAAATAAAAAAATAAAAAGAATACTTGTTAGGAAATTTTTAGGGGTAATATATATATATATATATTTTTTTTTTCTTAGGGGGACTGAGACTCGGAAGTTGGCAACACGTGTATGCGAGGTTTATTTCGTTATGAGTTTGAATTTTAAAGATGAGTTATTAAGTGACTAAATATCGTTTGTTCGTTATATATTTGTAGTGCTGGATAAAAGTAAAGTTGCTTTACTTTCTTAAGAATATATTTTTAAATAAAATTAAAAGCTTAAATTAGATTACATCATATGTAGTAATGTATCCATGTTATTGCGTCCAAATGGAGTTATTTAATAATTTACTAAAGATTTTTGGCAATATTAAGTGTCTTCACTTCATATTGCCTTAGTTAATTGAGTCTCTGTAACAGTCTCAATTTAAAAAGCTTAAGAAAAGCAGAAGTCTTATTTTATAGTTGACAGAGGTTTTTGAACGTTTTTTGTTGTTCATCATCAGATGAGAGCTGTTATTGAAACATTCAAATCAAAAACTTCTCAAAAAACCTTTCAATTTCACAAGTAATTAATAAATTAATTTTTTAACATGGAATTTGAAAAGAGTGATAAGTTATGAAAATAGAACTGATGCTTATTTTGATTGTCATTGGCTGCATTCAGCAGATTTGACAGTTCTGGAGCTGTTGGGTATTTTTTGCTGAATGCCCTCTTTAGTAGCACTGTTCCAAAACATGTTTGGTGTTTTGACGTCACATTTAGTAGCGTCATTCATTTACTCTACCTATCGCTAGCTGTAACTGACTAATGATGGCTGCTTTCTGTTTTGATGCATATGTTACTTGCCATTCAGAAGATGTAACTATGTAACATCTATCGATTGAAACATCTTTGCTCAGTTACAGCTTTTGAGTCTGCTGTACGCAGCCATTATGACTATAAATGAGTAAAGATATGTTATAAGTGTTTTTTTTTTTAAATAAACAAGTCTTATTTGAAATTTATAATGTAATTTTCTTTTTAGTTAAAAATGCCATCTTCCTCTAGTGTAAAAAAGTTATATCTTGCCAAAAATTTAGAAGAACTGAATAAACGTGCAGAGTCAAATTTACCAGCAGTTAAAAATTCCAAAGACATTTTAAAGTAAGTGAATTTGATTTTCTTTTTAATTAATAATTAATTTTCATCAAACTCAACTCTCAAGTTGTATCATATTTCTGATAAGAAAAATTGAATATAAGTGAAATTTAGACAATAATACTTTATTAAGAATATAGTGAATAATCATAAAAGTATATTTATTTATATTTATATTGATCATCAAAATTTACATTTGAATTAATTGATTATTTAATATTTTCTCAGCTATACTTTTTCAGTTAATTTAATAGATCTTGAGACATTATTAATCAAATATAATTAACATTAAAACAAATCTCTACTATTGCATGCAATTTCTTTTCTTGAATCTAAATTTAAAATAATAGTTACTAAATATATGAAAACCAAACATCTCGGGTACATTCGTAAAGTGAGTTAAACGCGTTAGTAACGAATTGTTCGAATAGTGGTAGTCTTGCTCAGTGCACATGCTCTGCGGTGATGACATTTCAAACGAAACTCTAACGAAGTTCACGAAGGAAAGAGTTAGTTTACTTTGTTAAGAAAATGGCGCTTGACGATATCGATGTTTCTAAATCTACTCGAGTGTTTAAATTGTGAATTAAAAGATGAAATGATTGAAGTAACTGTCCACTCAAAGCAATCTAAGAAAAATATTTCGGATAAGGCTGTACTAGCAACATTTGTATCTTCGATTTTAGAAACAGCCATTTAGTTCTAAGCGAATTGTTTGAAAAGTCTAACGAAATAAGAATAACGATGACGTCATTCTCGTTTAACTTGTTCGACTTTACGAACGTATCCCTTGTTACCAGGGCCGCATCCTGTTTTGATGCTGGGGCAAATTCATACTTGTCACCCCTGATTCAGCATTAATTACAAAAAGATTCTATGGACTTAATTTGAAACTAATTTTGGTGTCTGTACACTTGCTGTCCTTGCTTTAGTTATGCCTCTGCTTGTTACCAGCAAAGGTTTTACTATGAACAAATACAAATACAGTGGTGCCTCGTATAACGTATGCCTCAAATAATAGACCCTGCGAACAATGGACTTTCTGTTCAGCACTTATGTGAGGCGAACAACGATTTTTCTGCGAACAAGTGTGAATGATGTTTCCACTCTTTTGCCGTTGCCAATGACAATCTGCTATTTTTATAACATTAGTACTGTTAGAATATATTATTAGTATATCTGAAGTACAGAGCTCTTATTGGGATTTGGTTTGCTCCCTTGTTTATTACGTACATCACCTCAGTGCAGGGTATTTGCATTTATTCAAGTGTTGTGCAAATGATGGCTTCTAAAAAAACAAAGGTGATTTCAATTGAAACAAAGCAAGAAATCATCAGAAAGAGTGAAAATTGACAAGGACTTCCTTGTCAAATGGGGAGAGGTTCAGAGTTTACTTACACTCATTATCCAAACAGAGCTGAAGACAGCAGGATCATTGACACCCTTGCCCATCATTTCTGACAGGTGTTGAAGAAGAGAGAGAAACAGACCACCTTGGCAGATCCGGCCCTACCATAGGGGGAACAGAGCAGCCGCTCCAGGCGCTAAGTCCTAGGGGATGCCTCAGTGGTAAAGAAAATTAAAGGATATAAATTAGGGGCAACCAAGTGGGGTGCCATAATAGGATCTCGCTCCAACCTAAAACTTGCCTCGGGCCGGTGCTGCACCTTGGACCTGTTTTTCAAGAAGCCAGCTGCCAAATAACAAAGGATGGAACAAGAGGAGTTGATCCTGCAAGCTCCGGTAGCCTCTCCTGAATCTGACTCCGATTAAAAACAATAAAAAGAGACCTGCTGCAATGTGTAAAAAATGTGTATCTGTATGAATGTGTGAAGAAAGTGTTCCTCCATATCCTCCTCACAACATCTGACTACCCAGCATAATTGGTGACTTCTTCATTTTCATTTTTTTTATGGTACAGTACAGTTATTTTATGCTGCGGAACAAATTATGTTTTAACATGCATTTCTATGGGAAAATGCATTTCATATAACGAACTTTTCACTTAACGGACGTGCACTTGGAATGGATTAAGTACGTTATCGAGGCACCACTGTGCTTTTGATTTACTTTAGACCATCTTCAGATTTTCTACCTTTCAAATATATTATAGAATATGTTACATCATGGAATGGATATTTAAAAGTGTGTTCTAATGTATGTGGGATGTAATTTAAAATGTAAAATACAATAAATATGTTAAAAGTGTAATAAAAAATACAATAATAAATTAAATAACATAGATTAAAAAAATACAAAACACAAAACAATATAAAAAATTATTGCTAGAATAAAGGTGAATTCCTTATAAATTAAACTGTATTTTGAGTATTACATGAAATAAAAGTTAAATGTATAATTCTGAAGGATAATTCTGATTTTCATCTGTTTTGTAGCCTCCATGCATTAGGAAGTAGTTTCTTGGTCTCTGATGATAATATAATTTCCATATGTTTCCTGTTTGTATATTTCAATCATTTTCATCATTTTGGTTAATTTAGTTTTTTATTGGTTTAATGATTTTAGTTACATCTGTGTAACTGTATTAATTTGGGTTATGTGGTATGTATTGCTGAAGCTGTGTTGTAATGTCTTAATTATGTCATCCATATTATTAAAACATTCTTTGAAACTCACATCTAGCAAACAGTGGCCTGTACTTAGAAAATCAAATCAATAGATTTAGTATATATTAACAGTTTCTGTTAGCTATTGCAATGATACAATAAAATCTTTAATACATTTTCACAGTTATCATATAATTATAAAGTTACAAAAATATACTTCATTTTTGTATTATAAAATGTTATATGATGCACACTATAATTTTAGTGATAAATATTCTATTCATAATTTATTATTACTGAAATAATTAAATATATGCATCATTAAAAAATTTTTTATAGCTGAATGAATCACAAAATATAAAATGAAGTAAACTGTAGTTGTTAATTAATTTATTTTTGTTTTTAAAATAATCTATCTTTATCCAAAAAAAGAATTACAGAAAAAATACAGAAAGAAAAGTAGATAATAAGTTTACATGTAAAGATGATTTTATTATATTATTCTAATTACTGTAACAGAAACAATTAATAAATATTGAATTAATTGAACTGATAAATTGAATTTCATTTTATAATTTAATTACATCATTATAGTTTAGATGATATCAAAAATTTGCATAAATTTTTTGAAGTAATAATAATAAAAATATTTATAGACAGTGATTTAGAATTTAAATCACTATGGCAGACTTTATATCATATAAATACAAAAACCTATTGATGTTCCAATTAAGACTACAAAATGGTAAACCCAAGTTTGTAAAGTCTGTTTTAATAGGAGACAAAGTTCAATTGGCAAAAGAAGTTTTATTTGCTATGCATTTTGGGATTTAAACATCCCCTCTCAGATGTGAACACTCCAGATTTTACATATACACAATATATTTCTCAAACTGTTTTTTACTTCTCAAATCTTATCTTCTTTTGGTAGATTCTAAAGACATTAACAACTTATGATTTAATTACTCTGTATAAAATGTATTAAGTTATAAGAACTTTCAAAGAATGTATTAGATCTTAACCTTGTATCTTTATGGGCTGAAACATCATTACTCAGACAATATGTTGAATACAAGAAATCTATTTTTTATTTGGGAATCATTATACATTTTTACATCAGGACCATGTAACAAACCTACTATTTAAACTTTTAAATGATTAACCCAATGTATTGCATCAAATTTTTAAATTCATATTTTTGTTTTTTTTATAATCCTTTTACCCACTTTTCTTTTTTACATCACTGTAACATCAATCCAGTTCATTATTTTTACATTCTAATATTATTGTTTCTAAATTCAAATATGTGATTCTTTTCATTTAAACAAATGTTCTAATAGTATTTTTAGTATATTCTATATTACCTGAGGAAAATATCAATGTGATGTTGAAAGTACTTGCTAATTTTGTTATCATTAAAGTATCTTAACACTGAAAGATATCATTTATGTTTGTTAATTAAATATCTGAGTATTTATATGTAATATGTAATTATATCATTATAATTTTGTTGTTTAAAATTCTAATTCTACACAATTAATACTAAACATTTATTTGCATAAATTGCATACATTTGATGGTCTGATGATAATCACTTCAATCTGATCTTATCTAATATCACAACAGTTGAAAACATTAAAAAAAAAAAAATATATATATATATATATATATATATGTATGTATATGTGTGTGTGTGTGTGTCTGTATGTGTGAATAATTTTTTATAAATAAATTTAAATAACTGATATAAAACTGTAGTACAATAAGAACTTAGAGAAAAATGTTTTCATTAGTTTATTGAGATTTATTGGGACAATGTCAAGTGCTATTAATGTATCATAAAATGTTGCAGGTCTGTAAGTGGATAAGAAAGTGTGAGTGACAAAAGTCACAGTAGTCATCTAAGTTACCGAACAACAGAAATAAACACTACAAAAATTGATGGACTGATCCAGTATGATAGGCATTATCATCCTGAATCACCATAGTGAATTTGCCTGTCATTGTGGCAAATTGTTTTTCAGCTTGATTTGACATATCTGATCATATTGCACATTGCTGTTCTATAAGAACTGTGCAAGATAGATTCAGCATGCATTAATGTCTTAAAGCAGGTGTGTCAAACTGGCGGGCTACATGAGGCCCGATATGATTTTTCATGGCCATGGCCATGATGCTCTGAAATTAAATAAAACAGTTTACAGATCAAGAGTAACTGATAAACATCTATCTGCCATAATGAAGATTGTTCTGAGTCTTTGAATCCAGATATTGAAAAACTAGGAGGAGGAAGATAGCGCTGGCAAGTTTCTGGTGAAAACAATTAATTTTAGTGTTATAAATATGTACATTAAATAAAATAAATGTTTAAATAAAAGCAATACTATAGCAATTATATATTGTTGAGTTGAATTCACTGAATGACATAATGTGTTTTAATTGCCCTATCTATATTCCTGCATTCTCACTTCAAATTATAATTTTAAGAAAATTTGTAAATGTGATGTGACCTATGTGAATTTTACTAGTTGCATTAATGGCTCATTGTTTAAATGAGTTTGACACACCTGTCTTACAGGAAAGATCATTAAATGATGGCATGTCTCAATTTCTTGGAATAATACATGCCTGAGGACAACTCTTTGGAAAATCATTATAGATGATGAAATGACTTAAACTTTATGACCACTGAAGATCACTTTCATGAAAGAGAAACTTCTATGCCAAGAATAAAAATTAAGATAATAAGATATCATCCATTGAAAAAGGTCATGACTGTGTTTTTTTCTATGGGTCTGCTTTTGGTGAATTTTTTGTAATATGGTCATATATTTAATGCCATTTCATATTGTGATGCATTAAAGAGACCATTGGGAGAAAATATCCTAGACTCCTTAACCAGGTTGATATTCTGTTCTATGGCAATGCCAGATTGCATATGACACAATGCACAGTGAATTTACTGCAATATATTGGCTTTGTAAAGTTACTTTTTGATCACCTCATGTATTTATCAATACAATTTTAAATTATTTGAAAATTAATATTTGAACAAGATATTTTATTCTATTTAAAATTACAAATTATAAAGGGTGTTCCTCTCAAAACTATTTAATTCACTAAAGATTTTAAATGAGAGAAAAACTCACCAAATTTTATTGAAAAAATCATTCTGTCTCTACCTACACTCCAGTGGTCACAGTGACATCAAAATGGTAGGCAATTTTCTGCTGTGTACGCTATTCCATGTTTTGCAGTGGTGATGACTGTGATGATGTGCTCTCAAAGGTCCTGACAATCTCTGATCAAAGTTACATAAACCATATGTTTCACATAACCTCACAGAAAGAAATGTAAGGGGGGGTCAGATCAGAAATCTTTGAAGCCATGCTATCAGGTATATCAGAGCACAACATGCACTTTCTCCTATGGCATGACTGGACAATAATGCTCACAATTCAACTTGTATTCCATTTTATAGTATAAAAAATCTCTGTAAAACTTGATGAGTTTTTCTCCTAGATGCCACTTGTTGCTTTTATATATCTTAAACCATTCATTTTTTTATGACAGATTAAAATTGGGTACTTTTGAGTAGAACATCCTGTATTACTCATTACATGTGAATTTATTATTATTTCAGATACTAAATATTTTTTTATTTTTTTATAGATATTCAGAATCTGCTACTAAATTATATAAAGAAGCAGTCAAATCTGATGAAAGTGGAGATGAAGAGCGAGCTTATCTATTATATATGAGATATTTGGCATTTTATAAAACACTTAGAAATACTTATAAAAGTAAAAGTGACATGGTAAAGTATTTTATCAACAGTATTTAAATAATACTTTAATAAAATACTGTTTTATTATTGTTTCTATTTACACTTATTATTTTCTATTTCTTTTTCTTCTTACAATGATCTTAAATAAAAAATATATACACAGAATTGAAATTGAATATATCTATTATTTAGCCAAATATTTATCTATGATTAAATTTTTTGTTTGTTTTTGTCTATATGTATGTACTATATGTGTATGAAACTATTATTAGTTGATAATGACTTTTGAATTGTTTATTAATTTTTACAGCCAAAATTTAAATACAATATGCTCCATATTGATTTTATTATGTCATTAAAAAAATATTAAGATTCTGATTTTTTCCTTTTAATTTTTAAATTTATAAAGAACATATACACTTGAATTATTAAGTGCTGTATAAATGCTGAATCATTAAACATAATTTAAAATAGTTATCATTATCATTTATTTACAAAAGAACTTTTTGTAAATAGGGAAATAGTATATATGTTAGGCTCAAAGACTGAAAATGCTCATTGAGTGAAAAAAATGACCACAATACATTGTGGCTAAGTCAAAACAACTACAAAGTGAAATTTGCGTTGTGGCTATCATGATATTTGACCACTATGCATTGTGGTAATTAACCCTTTTGCAATCATTTGTGTATATATCGTCAAGTAGTTTATTACTGAAACAAATCACTTGGTGATTTATCATCAATCTGAGAATTTATGATTCTTATAAAACATTCCATTCATAGATGGCACTACACTACTGTAGGTTATTCTGTACACTTGTTTCACATATTTAATATCAATTGGCATTTTATTTTTATTTTATTTTAAGTATTTGTAATTTTTTTGAAGCAAGAAATTTCTTTGTGTAAAAACACTGTTTGAGTTTGTTTTAATCAAAATGTACAGAACAAAATGGCCATTTGTGCAGGTTATCAAAATGAACTATATAATCGAAAAATTTTATCTATGATTGAGTTGTGTAAATTATAAATAATATTCAAACTGTCATTTTTAACATAATTTAAAGGGAGAAATTTTCTATGCTGGTGAAAAGGAACTTTACTAGCATAAACAATGAAAGTAATGTATATATGTAAATTTTTTCATGTGTGTATAATTGCTGGATTTTTGGTGAATTTTTGAATAATATAAGTTGAATGATCTTGATTGAGTAAAGTTTGCAGTGAAAATTTTTGAACAATGAACAGTGAAATGTCATGAGTTTAAAAGGGTTTTAAGAAAAGACATAATGCATTTTGACATTAGCTGATGCAACCACAATACAATGGACAGGTTGAAATTGGTTTGAATGTTTTAGTTTGGGTGCCTGATGTTGATTGGGGATGTGCAGCTCCCAGAAATGTTTTTGCTGTTATTACAAGTATTATTCCGTCAGGTCTCTTCAGTTAGGAAACAAGGATCTTCTTGATCGACTTATGCTTGTAATGAATTTACAATTTCTGACAGTTACTTCATTAACATTAAGGACGTATCCTCAACTACATTAACACTTTTCTCAGCATCCATGTTAACATCTGGAAGTAAGCAAGGGTTTATAATGTGTCACTGTAAAAGATACTGTCAGAGCCGTAACTAGCCATTCCTGTGCCCTGTGCAAGAATTTGCATTTAGGCCCCTTAATTTATTTGGTTTTGGGAAAATAATAAAACAAATACATTACAATAGATTTTTAATAAGATTTATTTTAATTGAATTTTTCTGGCTTTTATTTCAGCAAATTCATTAATTACACCTTCATAATATTTTTAACGATATTGTATTCTATTGAAATAATAGAAATATTGGATAATCGTTCTTGTCTGATAGTTGGTCATAAATAATTTTTCATTAATTTTAACTTGCTAAAACTTCTCTCTCACGAAGCAATAGAAACAGGAAGAGTTAGAAATATTCAAAGAGCGACATTGATATTTGGGTAAGACTCAATTAAACCAAAATTATGAAGAGCCTATAGAATATTAAGCGGAGATGCAGTTTCTGTATTTTGTATAAGAGTTGTTACTTCAAAATTAAAACTTTCAATTTCACTTGTGAATTTGTACTTTTTTAAATCTTTGCTATATTTAATAGCAAGATCTGCAGCTGATTTTTTAAATCAGCAACACTCATGTATTGTAAAGACGAGCCACAGAGAAAGCAAAAATTGTCACAGATAGTTTTCATTTTTTCGTAACGCCAATCTATTTGACACAATAGAGTGCCAAGAACAGTGTAAATTTGTATTTTAAATAATTTTTTGGGTGTCAAGTTACTTCCTTCATTTAGTGTTTTATCTATTTCCATTATCTTAACTTTTTTTTTTTTTGTTTATTAAGAAATCCCTTTTCTATACTTTTTGGTTTGTTTTAAGAATATGATCAATAATAGCATCTGTTAATATTGTTGGCCATAAAGCTATATCATTTATTACTTCCATGTATCTATATATATCGAAGCGTTTTTCTGGACTATTTCTATCTTCTNGAAATCCCTTTTCTATACTTTTTGGTTTGTTTTAAGAATATGATCAATAATAGCATCTATTAATATTGTTGGCCATAAAGCTATATCATTTATTACTTCCATGTATCTATATATATATCAAAGTGGTTTTTTTTTACTATTTCTATCTTCTGCGTTTTCACAATCCCCTTTTTCAGTAGCATTTTAAGGACTGCGGGAGCTCCTTTGGGGCCCTATGCACCCGCATAGTTCACTTACTGCTTAATCCACCATTCAGGTATACACCACATATGCATACCACTATAAAGCAAAAAATGATGTCAGAATTTCTGCATGCCTTTTACAACCTCGAGACTAAGATTTTATTCAGGAGTTATCATTTTCAATTTAGTAATTTAAAAAAAAAAAATCCTCAGGCAGATTTATTTTTGTTACAAAATGTTACCTTTACATATTTCTAGCTCTGCACACTGTAGAAAAATCTAGAAATACAGTTTTGTATATCGTAATAATATTAGTAGTTGCCAGAGCGCNATTTAGTGTTTTATCTATTTCCATTATCTTAACTTTTTTTTTTTTTGTTTATTAAGAAATCCCTTTTCTATACTTTTTGGTTTGTTTTAAGAATATGATCAATAATAGCATCTATTAATATTGTTGGCCATAAAGCTATATCATTTATTACTTCCATGTATCTATATATATATCAAAGTGGTTTTTTTTTACTATTTCTATCTTCTGCGTTTTCACAATCCCCTTTTTCAGTAGCATTTTAAGGACTGCGGGAGCTCCTTTGGGGCCCTATGCACCCGCATAGTTCACTTACTGCTTAATCCACCATTCAGGTATACACCACATATGCATACCACTATAAAGCAAAAAATGATGTCAGAATTTCTGCATGCCTTTTACAACCTCGAGACTAAGATTTTATTCAGGAGTTATCATTTTCAATTTAGTAATTTAAAAAAAAAAAATCCTCAGGCAGATTTATTTTTGTTACAAAATGTTACCTTTACATATTTCTAGCTCTGCACACTGTAGAAAAATCTAGAAATACAGTTTTGTATATCGTAATAATATTAGTAGTTGCCAGAAAGCTCTATAAAGTAGAGATAAATCTGTAAATTTGAAAACTATAAACATAAATTTGAATTTCTCAAAAAATAAATTCAAAAATCTCAAAAGTTGCTACTTTTGGCTGATTTGTCTGAGGTCTCCACTACCTCACTACATCCCTCTAAAAGTCGCCACAGTTGGGAACACTGGTGAGCAGACATCTAGAATCTAAGTAAGGCGAAATGTAATCGCCAAACTGCACTGTAGAAAAGTGGAAAAATTTAAAATTTAAAAATATAATTTCTTGTGAACAGCAGTTTGGGCCCACACAGGGCCCTTCCCAGTGGGCCCTGTGTGGGTGCACCTGTTGCACCTGCCTAGTTACAGCTCTGGATACTGTATTGATAAAAAATGCAAATGTCACTCAAAGAACATAAAATGCAACTTGAAATATCATTGTAGTAGTTCTTGTAAAAATAAATCACAGTGCAACATTCTTGATTCTCAGAAAAAAGACTGATGTAATAAAAGTTCCTGACAAAGTAATTATTTTTAGTAAATTAGTTGTTTGAAAATCTTGACATCTCAAGCACTGCAACAGATTTTCAGGAATGATTAAATGTTGTTGAAAGTAACCAAGTTACATTTCTATACGTGGTGAATAATTTTGTTACCTACTTATATAAGATAATTGAAGATACATAAATCATAATGAAAAAGAAAGTTTTATTTTCTTATCATTACTTTATTATTAGTTAACATCCAGAACTTGTAGTGGCTTTGAACCATAATAAATCCATTGCACAGTGGTTTTTAACTTTAGCTGCTGATTTTTATGTCAACATGTAGAGCAATGGTTGGCAACTGGTGGTTCGCAGACCATTGATGGTCCAAGAGAAAATTTGGGTGGTCTGTGAAGAAATTTGAACATCAATCAACCGAAGGTTATGAGTATTATGAAAGAAATGCAAAATGCTTAGTTTCTTTTTTCACTATTGGGTTTTTTTATTCGAATCTAAAACCAAAAACGAAGTGACTGTTATCAATAAATAATGAACAATAAACAATATTGTAAGTGTGATTGTCAACCTTCATGGAAAAGCGCGAAGAATCCATAAACTTGTTTCAAACAAGCAGCAATGAACTTTAGGCTTGCATTAATTTGTTATAATTAAACATGCGAGTTTCATATTAATATAGTAAAATTGAACTTTTGTGATCATTATTCTACAAATTTTGTATTGTTTAAAAAAATTCTTGATAATAGTTTGCGGGATTGAAAATTGTGACTTTAGTGGTCCGTGAGGTGAGAAAGGTTGCTGACCATTGGTGTAGAGTACTGTACATCAAGCACCTACTAGTACTGTAGTTTGACCTTTAGCACTTTTAAGCAAAATAAAAAAAAACAATTGTGTATTTTTCTCCATACATTTTATTTCTTTGAAATTTTTTTAAGTATGAAAATT